CCCCACTCTAGATCATAGAATATAAAGGAAACCTCAAAAATACCTGTCCCACTTATCCCCATCCCAGGACAGCAGGGATCTCCTTTACCATCAGGACCCCTGTCCCTGGCCTGTGATAACTTCCCCATTTTAGCCCCCATACCCATGTCTCAGAAGATCCCTTTCCTATAGAGCAAGAACCCAAAAACCTCCGGTCTACTCCCATCCAGGCGGGATGTGGCTCCTTTTGGTGTCCGAGTCTCCATTGTGGAGCCTGGCTTCTTCCAAACCCCTGTGACAAACCTGGAGAGTTTGGAGAACACGCTGCAGGAGTGCTGGGCACGGCTACCTCCTGACACACAGGCCCACTACGGGGAGGCCTTCCTCACCAAGTGTGAGTATGTGGGCCCACACAGGGTCGTACAAAGGGAAATGAAAGTGCCAGAACGGCCCATCCTACACCAGCCTGCTGGGAGGAGGTGGGCAGAGAGGAGGTGAGGGAGAATGAGATGCCACAGAACATCCAGGCCATGTGGAACCTGCCCACTCGCCAAACTGGGGAGGGGACTAAGGATCCATCTCACCTCTGCTGGGGACCAGTTCCAGGACCCAGAAGACAGGGCCTGAGATAGGCTGGGGTGGGACAGGGACACTGATTACAACCACCTCCTGGACTGCAGACTTTAAAATGCAGCGGCGCATCATGAGCCTGATCTGTGACCCAGACCTGACCAAGGTGAGCAGGTGCCTGGAGCATGCCCTGACTGCTCGTCACCCCAGAACCCGTTACAGCCCAGGCTGGGATGCCAAGCTGCTCTGGCTGCCGGCCTCCTACTTGCCAGCCAGCCTGGTGGATGCTGTGCTCACCTGGGTCGTTCCCAAGCCTGCCCAGGCAGTCTGCTGAATCCAGCCTTCCAGCAAAAGATTGTTTCAGTCCCCACCCGGGTACTGCCTGGTACTGGTACAAAATAAGTACTGAATAAATGTGTATTGTTAAAAAAAAAGCACTGGAAGTGGGCAGAAATGGAGTTGCCCAGTGGGGGACTGACCCCATTTAAGTGCTAGCCCCTAGGCTGATTTAATGCCCAGGGTCTCTGGCCTGTTAAATGCCTGCAAAACAACTAGCAACTAGCGGGAAGGGGGACAGAGGCTAAGGGAACTGGCTTGTGACTAGGTGCTCTTTGAAGCACATGGAAGAATGGCCACCAGATGGCACTTTTGGACATGTATTTTCTACAAGGAGTCAAGTTGCAGTTCAGTGTTGGGAGTGCAAATGGCCTTTACCTGCTTTTCTTGGGAGGGACAGAAGGTGGTGAGGAGGGGTCAGGGCCAGGCTGGGTGGTTTCCATTGGGGAAAAAAAGCAATACCCACTTCAGTTGTCTTCTATTATCTAAGTCCAGAAAGATGGATACTGGCCACAAAGGTGTCATAGCAACTTGTCACCAGCCTGAAAGGAGCCAGGTGCCCTTTGTTGGGGAGGGAGTTGCTGGGCCCTCAGAGGTGGGCAGAAGGCCAGGGAAAAGATGTCCATGGTAAATCTGGGCTGGCCTCTCCCAGACAGAACCTTTGTGGGGAACCCCCTGACGTTTGAAGGAGATGGCTTCATGAACATTGCAGCACATGGCTAGGAGACAGGGAGGACAAAGGGCCACAGCCTCCAGATCCCCCTTCCACTGCTAGCCCCACTAAGGCCTTCAGCAAAACCCGCCTTTCCAAAACATCCCTCCCCCCGCCCTCTAAAATTAGCCTTTCTTGCCCAAGGTGCAAATACAAGGTCCCACAGGACAGGAACACGGTGGAAGGGAGGGAAAGGATAAAGTATCATTCTTCGAGACAAACTGAGACTTTTTTTCAGTCTGAAAAAATAATCAGTTTAATTGAAAAACCTGGAGTGTGCTACCCCACTCCCTTAGATGAGGGGGCTGAGGCGACCAGACCCCTACATCACCTCATAGCCACTTCGGATGCTCTTCACGAGGCAGCAGGCAAAGATAATTCCCAGTACCTAAAAGCAAAGATAGAGGGGTGGAGGAGAGTCAGAAAGGCAAAGTCTCCCAGACCCACCCAAGAGACCCCAAACACAACCAGGGCCCTCATCTCCAGGCCAGGACCTCCTCAGCACCTCTTCCCACTGCCCCTACTGCTCAGATGCCCCAGAATGAGTCCAAAAGATGCCTCTCACCTCCACAAAGGCAATGCCCAAGGCTGCTGCAGCCACCACCAGCACATTGCTCCTCAGCCAGCCCCCAATCTTCTCCACACAGCCCTGAAGAGTAGTAGCCACACAAGGCAAGAACACAATCAGAAATTTTCCACCCACCTCCTGGGTCCTTTGATCTCTCCTGCACGCTCTGTATCTTTCACCCTGCCTCTGGGAATCTGGGCATTCCCAGATACCGACCCTCCCCATCCCAAAACCCCAACCCTCTCCACCTCCATCCCTGGTCCCTCTCAACTCTTGAAACATTTCCCAGGTTTCCCAAGTCCCCTGTTCTCTCAACTTCTCCCTTACCTCTTCGTGGATCTCCTTCACCTTGAAAGAAATCCCACAGCCCTGTGTGACATTGACGCAGCAGGAGTCCGGGACTCGGCCCTTGGGCATGAGAGGGATGCTCTCCCAGTCTGTGTAGTTAGCTGCCCCGCAGCATTTAAACTGCACGAGAGGAGAAATGCCAGGCAGAAGGTTATTGCGTGAACATCCACCTTCAATATGAAGATGAGAATCTTCTTCCCCCACTACCCCTGCTCCCAGAAACCTCACTCACATCTTCCTGCATCCTGTCCACAATCGAAACCGTGTGGTTGTTTTTTGGATAATTCTGCATCTGCTGCCGGAAGTCCTTATTAAATTCTGACATCACCTGGGAATTTGGAAGGAGCATTGTTGAGGTCAAACTAAGGCAAACAGGTCCCAGAGCAGCCAGACCTCTGAGGCAGGGCCCTCCCCTTTTCCCTGCTTACCTTGTCTCTAAACACATAGCCAGCAATGGCTACAGCCACCTCCACCAGCATGATAAGAGACAGGAAGATGGCAAACTGCAGGCACAATGGGCAAGGGTCAGGTTTGGAGTCTTGGTGAGAGTGGCCTGCTGTGGCCCAGCCAGCCTCTAGCTCCTTCATAAAGGTTTTCCTCACCCACCTCCTAAGCCCCCACAGAAGTGCCCTCCCAGCAGTCCCAGACACCCATGCTGGCCCCACACTGTGCTCACCGTGACCATAAGACAGTAGTTCTCCTTGCAGGCCCCACAGCAGCCCATGAAGGCCACCAGGAAGAGGAAGGCACCCACTGCGATGATGACCACGGGCAACAGGGAGCCAGGAGTGGCCCCCTGGACAATGGTCTGCCTCAGGACCAGCTGGGCCCCTACACCCACGGCGATCAATCCCACTGCACAGGCCTGCGAGGAGGGCAGGTCAGGGTTAGGCCAGACCCACGACCTAGCAGCCCTCCGTGACAGAGGGCAGCAGCTGCACCCAGGACACAGACTTAGCCCCATCCCAGAGAGACAGATTCTCACACCTGGGAGAATATGGTGTGGGATGACCCATATTTGCCCACAGTTTGATCAAAGGCCGAAAGAGGAGTTCCCAGAAAGCCTTGACCCCAGGGCACATATTTCTAACCTAGAGTGGTGCTTCCTGTGGGCCTCTAGGGCTCCCAGAATTGCCATCTCACTATCTTCCAATGGCCACCCCCTCCTCCTCAGCTGTGACTCAGGTTCCTCAGGCCCACAAGGCCAAGGAGGAGAAGGGAGAAGGAAAAGAGGTAAGAGTGGTGAGCTCCTCCCTGGACATAGAGCAGTCTCTCAAGCCAGGACCCCAGGGCAGGAGCAAATTGTGGCCGGCTGAGCCCTTCCCCACCCCGAAGCGGTGAGAGGGATGAGGGAATGGAAAGGAATGAGGGGGTAGGGGAGAAGGGTGGGGAGGAGGGGGAAGCCCCAAGGCGATAGCATCAGGCCGGCCGTTGGCTGGTTGCCCCATTGCCCGGTATCACAAGTGGTTGGTTGGGTCACCAGACAGGAAGGGCCAGAAGGGGCGAGGGGGAGGGTGCTGTGCACCCACGCAGTCCATTCTTGGTCCAAACTAGCCTCAGAGGTCCCTGAAAGCTGGAGGGGGTGGGGTGGCCCTGCTGTCTTCGGCCCGTTTCCCGGGCTCTCCTTCCACATCTGGTCTCCAGCTGCCTTCATTCGTGGCCCCCCAGCCCTCACCACTCCGGATCCCGGTCTCCCCACACCCTGCCAGCGCGCCCCGATCATCCCCCATCCCACTCACGCAGAAGGCCAGCAGAAGAACGTAGAGCAAGAACTTGACACATTTCATTCCTCCTTCTACCGCCATGGCTGCCGGGCCTGGGGCAGAGGGGAGGGCAGGGGGATCAGAACCGGCCGAGGTGGGGGACCTCGGTTGCAAAGCTCCCCGCCGGCCCTCGAGGCCTTCCCTGCTCGGCCCCCTTTCCCGGCCCCTCCCACCCGGAAACCCGCGGTCGGATCCACGTCTCCCAGCCCCCTCTTCTTCCAGGCTGGAGGGGTGGGGGCGACCGCCGCGAAGCCCGGACCTGCCCCGCAGCCTCCCGGGCCCCGGGGCAAGATCCCAGGGCGCCGACAGAGGCCGGAGCCCGACGCCCACCCTCGGCCCGCCAGTCCCCCGGCGCCCAACACCCCCTCCCCACCCCGCCA